AAGGTCCAGTGTTTAACACTGTCCTGACCCTATGGTAGGTGTATAGATCTGAAGATATTTTTGGTTCTTGTGGGTTATTTATACCATCACTATAATCTCACTAAATAATGGTTACCTGTATTTGATATAAAATAAATTAAGTTTTGATTAGAAAACTAAATAAATGAAATAAAGAAAACATTCAAGGATATATTTGATTACACATATCAAACTGCTTCCCACTAATATTGTGATCGTACCTCATATTCCCGTCCTGGGGTCCAAGTCTTGCCTGCCTGTAAGAAAGAGTCAGCACTCTCCATTGACTGGCTTGGGTAGGCCTCCCCCTTGAATTTGGTTGGCACTGATGATGCAAATCTGTACATAACAAAAGGACAAGACTTCAAATCACAGACAGAATCACAGAATCTCATGTTGAAAAATCAGTCCGTTTTAAGATGAAATACGTAAGTTCAAAGATTTTTCTCTCCTACCTTGGACAGATAATTTTTCCAGTGACAAATCTTTGCCCTACACTAGGCTTCAGTGAGCGGATTCCGATTCTCAACAACTGACTGACATCACATCAATAATGCATTGATTCACATCATTATTACATATGAGAGGTCCAAGACGGTAAGAGAAAATGAGCCATATATATATATATATATTCCTCCCCATGGGGATGAGACAAGGATCTCAACACTCAGGGCAGATTCTTTAAGTTGCCAAATTCTTGGCAGCCTCTGAAATATCCCCCTCTGGTTGAGATCTCACTTTCCGGACAAGCGTATTCAGATTTTACCTGAGTAAGCTATCCTTGTCTCAACCTAGAGATGAGGGAATCTCACAGGCATAACAATTGTATGACATCACATCAACTAGCAGGGGTAAGAGAAAAAGAATCATTCACACCCTTGAAGGGCCTTCAGGGTTATATTCATAAATTGTCAACACTTTGTGGGCAATGATCATCCCGCCTCGGCTGAGATCCACGTATATGTCAATCTCAAGACTTTTATTACAGTCGATTGATGTCACATGGTGATCTGTGCAACAGCAAATTGTTAATTGTTTGCTGGACAGTGTTGAACAAAAATGGAAAGCTTTTGCCAAATTACCTGTAACATTTATTTCAATATTACCTCTAACATCTATCTTCCTTTAAGTTACCTGTCTGACTTGTACTTAGTTGATTTGGAGCGGGAGGGCTCTGGCAGAGTTCTCGATGCCTTGGGAAGAAAGGATTCTCCTGTAAAACGTGAAACTCAAATTAAAACCTCATCAAAAGATAAATGTAGGATTTTCCAGTAAACACTCCACAATATGTTATATGTCCAGTAAACACTCCACAGTATGTTATATGTCCAGTAAACATTCCACGATATGTTATATGTCCAGTAAACACTCCACAATATGTTTTATGTCCTGTAAACACTCCACACTATGTTATATGTCCAGTAAACACTCTACAATATGTTAAATGTCCAGTAAACATTCCACAATATGTTATATGTCCAGTAAACACTCCACAGTATGTTATATGTCCAGTAAACACTCCACAACATGTTATATGCTTCGATATTTGTAACTCAATAACTCATTTACCTGATCAGTTGACATAAATACCAACATAACCTGACAGAAGTACTCACCATCAGAATCTGTTACATTCCACACCGGTCTCCTCTGGAACCAAGAAAACCAAAACCTCCTTGATTATACTGTATTTCTATTGATTTAATTCCATGTAGTATCAGATTTCTTTTATGACATGAGATTTGCATACAGATATTTCCTTATGCATAGACACTCATTTCCAATTGATAAAATTTCTTAGAAAATGTGAGGTTCACTACAGAAATCTTGGCAATCTTAAATCTCTCATTAGTAGTACGTACGCCTCTCCTTCATTGAAATCTCTCATTAGTAGTACGTCTTTCCTTCATTAAAATCTCTCATTAGTAGTACGCCTCTCCTTTATTAAAATCTCTCGTTAGTAGTACGCCTCTCCTTCATTAAAATCTCTCGTTAGTAGTACGCCTCTCCTTCATTAAAATCTCTCATTAGTAGTACGCCTCTCCTTCATTAAAATCTCTCGTTAGTAGTACGCCTCTCCTTCATTAAAATCTCTCATTAGTAGTACGCCTCTCCTTCATTAAAATCTCTCGTTAGTAGTACGCCTCTCCTTCATTAAAATCTCTCATTAGTAGTACGCCTCTCCTTCATTAAAATCTCTCGTTAGTAGTACGCCTCTCCTTCATTAAAATCTCTCATTAGTAGTACGCCTCTCCTTCATTAAAATCTCTCGTTAGTAGTACGCCTCTCCTTCATTAAAATCTCTCATTAGTAGTACGCCTCTCCTTCATTAAAATCTCTCGTTAGTAGTACGCCTCTCCTTCATTAAAATCTCTCATTAGTAGTACGCCTCTCCTTCATTAAAATCTCTCGTTAGTAGTACGCCTCTCCTTCATTAAAATCTCTCATTAGTAGTACGCCTCTCCTTCATTAAAATCTCTCGTTAGTAGTACGCCTCTCCTTCATTAAAATCTCTCATTAGTAGTACGCCTCTCCTTCATTAAAATCTCTCGTTAGTAGTACGCCTCTCCTTCATTAAAATCTCTCATTAGTAGTACGCCTCTCCTTCATTAAAATCTCTCGTTAGTAGTACGCCTCTCCTTCATTAAAATCTCTCATTAGTAGTACGCCTCTCCTTCATTAAAATCTCTCGTTAGTAGTACGCCTCTCCTTCATTAAAATCTCTCATTAGTAGTACGCCTCTCCTTCATTAAAATCTCTCGTTAGTAGTACGCCTCTCCTTCATTAAAATCTCTCATTAGTAGTACGCCTCTCCTTCATTAAAATCTCTCGTTAGTAGTACGCCTCTCCTTCATTAAAATCTCTCATTAGTAGTACGCCTCTCCTTCATTAAAATCTCTCGTTAGTAGTACGCCTCTCCTTCATTAAAATCTCTCATTAGTAGTACGCCTCTCCTTCATTAAAATCTCTCGTTAGTAGTACGCCTCTCCTTCATTAAAATCTCTCATTAGTAGTACGCCTCTCCTTCATTAAAATCTCTCGTTAGTAGTACGCCTCTCCTTCATTAAAATCTCTCATTAGTAGTACGCCTCTCCTTCATTAAAATCTCTCGTTAGTAGTACGCCTCTCCTTCATTAAAATCTCTTGTTAGTAGTACGCCTCTCCTTCATTAAAATCTCTTGTTAGTAGTACGCCTCTCCTACATTAGAATCTCTCATTAGTGGTACGCCTCTCCTTCATTAAAATCTCTCGTTAGTAGTACGCCTCTCCTTCATTAGAATCTCTCGTTAGTAGTACCCCTCTCCTTCATTAAAATCTCTCATTAGTAGTACGCCTCTCCTTCATTAAAATCTCTCATTAGTAGTTCGCCTCTCCTTCATTAAAATCTCTCATTAGTAGTTCGCCTCTCCTTCATTAAAATCTCTCATTAGTAGTACGCCATACGTAGTCGGACATACTTCAGCTTTATGTTACAACAATAGCCACGTTTCCTTTTTCCTTATAAAAGATTACTGAAGCAGCTCCATTGATTCCTCAAAACTGTGTCTTTCATGAATGAATTGTATTTATTACATACTTACCAATAAATACGGTTTTTTTTGTATATGCGATACAATACAATTGCTCTTACCCATATCAGCCCCCACCGTATCACATTCCTTTTGGATTTTTTTTTGGTTTTTAAATATTTCTAAAGAAAAAATTATCATAAGATAGTAGCTTTTACCCTCGACTAATATCAGCCCTCGGGCCTTCGGCTCTTGGGCTGATATTGCAGTCTCGGGGTGATACTTGGTGTGATATGGAAAAAGGCATGTATTATTCTCTATATAATTGCCTGCAATTTTGTGATATGATTTGACCCCGAATATGTTACATGCTTACAGTCACGATTTCTGAATTCCCATCATTCTTTATAATACTTGTAAATGACTCTGACCTAAAACACTCTCTTATTATTAACTTACAGGGCCTGTGACCTGTGACACACTTTCAAACTCGTCGTCAACATCGCTTTCGCCCGGTGAATCCCGATACCCTGACAAACCTGTAACAACAAATCAGTAAACATACATTGTAATACATTACAATAAAACATCATTTACGTTTACACTGGAATGTAATTACACATTCGGGAAAGCTATCAATATATTCATCCACTCGTGAAATGTAACTTCTGCTCATCAAGACACCAATATCAATCTATTTATTGCATTTTTCTTTGTAAACACATTGGCTTCTGTGAACATATAATCCACCTTCTGCCAGAAAGTATTGAGACAGGGAATGATTGTATTACAACGTCACAATAAGAAAGTACTGAGACAAGGAATGATGTATTATAATGTCACAATAAGAAAATGTCAGGCTGTCAGTGAAGTCACAATTGACAATGCTCACTGCTTGTTATTTTTAGCACTAAATCCTGCTCAATGATTGGTTGGTTGAATGTGACAAGAACAAAAAGATATATTTGTCACAGTAAAAAAACTTCATCTACCAACTTCCTGTTCGCTGTCAATCCTTAAATTTCTACACTAAAAATGTAATAAACATATTTATGATAATCGCTATAAACAAATCTTTGTCCCACAGCTAGGTGTCGATCCCCAAATCTCTTTATTATAGAGCTGGGAGATTACCCACCGAGTTACGAGTCGTGATACTTGTCATCATGTTAATCATCTCCTACCAGTTCACTGGGAATAATTTCAGAATGTTCTAAATCCCTTATAAGAGCCCAATTTATAACTGTCTTTGATTGACAACAGAGAAAATCCTATGAAGTTAACAGGACAGAGGCAGACAGTTCTTCTCCAGTTTCAACATTATGTAAATGTACTCCACTGGGATCTAATGTGAAAGGGTAAATGAATCACATGACCAGTAAATCACATGACCAGTAAATGAATCACATGACCAGTGATTCATAAATGAATCACATGACCAGTCAACACCTCACCTGTAGGCAGCCGCTCATCCTCCGAGTCAAAGTAACGATCCTGGTTATCTTCATAAAGAGTATCTACCAAACACAAGTGAAGAATACTTACATACAGTTGTACTTGAGAATGTTTACTAGCATATATTGACTTCTGATTGTCCCGGAAATTTAATTTTAGCTTCCAACCTATAGCTAAGTACTTCCGATTCAATTACACTAAACTTTATGAAGGTTTTGGTAAGCTTGGTATATTTTGTGAGCATCTTATTACATTTGTTCACTTTATTAACTTGGTTATATAACTTCAGCACATAAAGCTATTTTAATATGGTTTTCTTCGTACCTAGAACAAGAATGTGATTAGGCTTCTATATAGCTACCATTCATTAACCAGTACATGTACTTATTTTTTTTTATCTGAACAAAAGAATTAGAAAATTTGTCTAGTTTTGTAATACATAATGTACCGGCTAACAGGTCAAGGTATGCTTTATAGATATTAACTTCCAAGTACATGTATATCAGCTTATATTTAAGAAGTACATGTAGTCTGTTCACAAATGTAATCATTTCCCCTATTGGGCCGAACCACTCTGACTTCATGCAGCTAGACATTTCATGTATACATTCTTTTCCTCTGGAACAGGGATGCTAGTATGTACCAAACTAAGCTAAACAAGCTCTCCAAATGACATTTTAATTTCAAACTGATGAACATTTTGTATAACATAGTGATAAGAATCCATGCAGATATATAGTAATAGCCGACTCCAACAACATTTCAATAAATCAATCTTAACCAATGGCCAAGAGATAAGTTCTGTCCACTTCTGGCCACACTTGTATGAAAAATCTCAAGCAATGTATCGTTTATGGGAAATCTTACACTTGAGGAAATCTCAAGCAATGTATTGTCTATGGGAGATCTTAGACTTGAGGAAATCTCAAGAGTTGAGATTTTTATACAAGTCAGGTGCCAGGTTGTTTAAAACTTCATACAGAACAATCACAGGAATAAATCACACAAAGTAAATAATGAACTATAAAACCATACCTACTCCCCTGTTATAGTACAGTAAAACACCATCCCTACTCCCCTGTTATAGTACAGTATAAAACCATACCTACTCCCCTGTTATAGTATACAGTATAAAACCATACCAACTCCCCTGTTATAGTACAGTATAACACAATACCTCCTCCCCTGTTATAGTATACAGTATAAAACCATACATACTCCCCTGTTATAGTACAGTATAAAACCATATCTACTCCCCTGTTATAGTATGCAGTATAAAACCATACCTACTCCCCTGTTATAGTACAGTATAACACAATACCTACTCCCCTATTATAGTATACAGTATAAAACCATACCTACTCCCCTGTTATAGTATACAGTATAAAACCATACATACTCCCCTGTTATAGTACAGTATAAAACCATATCTACTCCCCTGTTATAGTATGCAGTATAAAACCATACCTACTCCCATGTTATAGTACAATATAACACCATACCTACTCCCCTGTTATAGTAAACAGTATAACACCATACCTACTCCCCTGTTATAGTACAGTATAAAACCATATCTACTCCCCTGTTATAGTATACAGTATAAAACCATACCTACTCCCCTGTTATAGTACAGTATAACACCATACCTACTCTCCTGTTATAGTATACAGTATAACACCATACCTACTCTCCTGTTATAGTACAGTATAACACCATAC